TGATTGTCGGGACCAATCATCTTTGGCCACTATTTCTTGAAGGACCTGATCGGTGTAGGGCTGTTACGCCCCAACTACTGCAAAAGCCCCAACTATAGATGGGACAGTCCCGACTGTAGTTGGAACAAGTCCAACTATAGCTAGGCCAGACCCAACTATAGCTGAAACAGTCCCAGAGTTGGGATAGTCCCAACTAAAGTTGGTTGGTTGGGACAGTCCTATCTATAAGGACATTCCCAAATATAGCTAGGATAGCTAGGATACCCAACTATAGGATAGACCCAACTATGGTTGGGACAGTCTCGACTATGTTTGTTTTAATAGTGGTATAAAAATCGCCCATCACAAGGCCAGTAGTGGGTCAGTCAAGGTGATGGCTACAAAGGCAAGGACAGAAAACAAAGGTACAGAAAGAGAAGATATCTAATCACATTTCTTTTGAACAGGAATTCAGTATAAGTTGTTGGAAAACAGGATTCAGGTACGAAGTTCCAAAGTGCAGCAGTACGAGGGAAAAGCCAGAAGAACATCTCACAGATACAGTGAAGGGACGAGAGGAGATTGCACAACGTGTGCTGCGAGTGAAGGTGCGAACAGAAGGGACAACAAGGGAGAGACCTGGCACCATTATAATATCTACAGAACAGGCTAAGAGAAGCAACAGACCGTCTAAAAGGAAGAGGTTCTTGGGATGATGCCAGGTCCAGTCCTAATAAATTAAAAGCCCGCTGTGGTGGGATTTTATCAAGATAGAAGAAGGGACAAGTAGCAGACCGGACTTTTGATGCTATAGTTGGGTGTGACAGGGCTTAACTTGCATACTGAAAGAACAGTCAATTATCTCTCTGATTAACACATTTCACATTGTGGCATCTTCGTACAGCAGAGGGTTATGCGCCATATTCCCCAAGGTGTCTTCGTCACTTGCCAGAATGTTGGAGGTTCAGTCACGATTGTAACAATACAAGGCCTAGTAAAGCTGATCCCAAAGTGCAAAAATGTATATTGACGATTCTGTTCGAATTGTGTACTCCAAAATCTAAATGCAATTTGCGGACGGTCTTTTTTTTTCTACAAAGATTTATTGAAGTCAGTGTGATAGATACCACAAAACTTTTTGACTGCCATCATAGCATTAAAGAGGGCGCTGTTACCGTTCCTCACCGACTTAACCGATATGCCAATATCAGCCACGACAGGCTTATTCCCTTCTCTGGCTATGTTATGTAATAGAGCTTGCTCTATGGTTATATCATAGAGCTGGGTCCTAGCTCTATGGTTATATTGCCATAATGTCACACGCTGCCACGTCTGTTTCCCCTTACCCGAACTGTATGCGGAGCATTAAGGAACGGATACTTGGTGTCCCAAGATGGCAGATGCTTTCAAGGTTTGGTTACCCGCCCCTCCCCCTAACTCCTTCCCCTCCCGTGGCTCCTCGTAAGACAGCTGTCCATAATTTGGGCAATTTTCACTTCTTGTACCTCTCTTGTTTTACAACTCCTTTGACTGTAGGCATCCTATAAATGAACTGTTTGGGGATAACGTAGGAAGGAAAAACAGTCTGCTTTCCTTTCTCGTTGTTGATGAGACATAAATGTAGACACAACACAATAGGAAAACATCAAGTCGCACTGTCTGGTGTTAGGGAAGTGAGGGACACGTGTCAAAAACGAGAATACTAAATTTAGGCATTTTGAGGTTACTTCAACTTATAATGGGAAAAGTTCTTCAATGTACCACACAACTTGTCGAGCAAAGCTTTAATCCCTTAAACATTCTCTTGCAGCTTTTCACTTTAGGAACCTTGAAAGAGGTTTGCATCTACGAGACTTTGTTTTCTCCGCAAAACATCAATATGCTGGTGTTTCATTCACCTTAAAATTTTCGAACTACAGCTTTTTTTCCCGTCGTATGTTAAAATTGCACCTTAAACCCTGTCTAAAGTGGTCACTGAGGTCAATATTTTTATATTTCATCATCTTTGACCTGCCCGGACCAATCTTTTGATCCTTCAGACTTATCGGAGCATTTTAAAACATTTATCGACTCGTCAGCTAGGCTTATCCGTCTAATGTTCCAAATCTGCCCTCTTTGGGCCAAAATCTGTGGCTTAATTTCTCTCTTCGTATGATTATTCTCCTGGCGAAGAACGAACCATGAAACAAATTTCCAATCCTCAAACTCAATTTTTTTTTTAGTCGAGCAGAGCTTCAGGTGATGACAAACTTGCCGGCGGGTTATCACTCAGTAAGCCAGAGCCCGGCAGAGGAAATCGGCAGAAATTACGGGGCGGAAGAAATCCGAGCCGCGGGGAGTCGCAGGGGAGATGAGCCCACGGCGTACGCGGTGTTTCGCATCGTAACAGCCCACGGGCCCAGCCCAGTCGGTCAGGACACCCCTCGCAATACCCAGCCCCGTGTCTGTTGACTCAAGTTCAGCGGTGTTGAAAGTGTGCGCGTCTCCCCTGGGCCCCGCCCGCGCGCGGTTAAAAAATCCTCTCCAGTACTAGCTAAACATCTTGGGGAAGATGACATCATTCGTTGCCTGGAGGTGGTTCCCGGTGTCCCCCTTCCTCCCTTTTCTTCCCCCGCCCATACTGTAGTGGAATTCTCGACACTGTGGCTAAGCCAGACCGTGTCACGATGCTTCCTCTGCGGATGCCATTGGAACACGAGCAGGAAATTATTGATTATGGGACTAGATCATTCCAGCTGATACCGTGTCAGAAATATTTTGGCCGATGACAGTCAGATATGGGCAAACCATGTGGATGTGTCACTTATAGCTGAGGTATAATTCGGGTCTCGTGAATTGAAGTGGCTGAAAACCAGACATCTTTTTTCCTAAAGCGAAAGAGACTTCAGTTGTAACCGTTTAATGAACATCTGATTTAAACTTCTGTACGCTCGTTCAATAATAATATACCGAAGTCTTATATAGCGCACGTATACAATTAGGTACTCGGGCGCCGGTAATGTATTTTTTTAAAGACAGGTAAATGAAGTTTATGGGAAATATGAGACCCATTATGTAGCACCTTTTAATTTTATAAAGGGTATACAAGATGCTGCGGCGCATATTGCAGCCACTGCCAGAAACACCGGGGCAAACCCCTTCTCTTAGCGATAAGTGTTACTGGGTGCATAACACAACACACGGGACCTACGGCTTAACGTCCCATCCGAAGGACGAAGCAATAATGGTAAAGTGCCTTGCTCAAGAGAAAGATAGAATTTTAAGTGCAATGTATAATATTAGGACTTAAAAATGTTAAGACTTTCAGAAAATTCGTGAAATACCATCAGTCGGCTCTTCTTTTTAGTCCTGTCCAGGACAAAATCAGCTCAGGAGCACAAGGACCATGTTCCCCGTCAGGATTCGAACCACGTCACACGAGTCGAACACCGTAACCACTGGACCACATCCCACTTTGTACCCGCCCTTTGCAAACAATACCCATATTGTGAGGTTACAGCTCAGAACTTCAGATTTCAGCTTCAAATTGAAATTCCCAATTGAGATTAGAACTCCAAAAGTCATAAACTTAAAAAATCCGAAATTCAAATTAAAAATCTTAGTATACAAAGCGGCCTACAAACTACTTACCGTCATTACCATTTGTAACAAAATTTACACACCTGAATTAAAGTTGAAATTTACAATTTACACCAAAATCGAATTAGTGATTCTTTTCGAAAAGATTTTTTGGGGGGGGGGGGGGTTGCGTGGGGAGGTGATATAATTTTATGCGCAATGCATAATATTAGGACTTGAAAATGTTAAGAGTTTCAGAAAGTTCGTGAAATACCATCAATCGGCGCTTCTTTGTGTCCTGTTATGTCCGGCCAGGACAAAAATCGTGTGCATCTGGTCAAATTTGTTTATTTGTCCCAGCCAAATAGTTGCTCCACTTTTCATCCAAAAACCAAAGTCATGATATTTCTGATTTAATGAAAAGATCAACACGAGGACCACCATACGACAACCGCTCAACACTACGTTATTTACACGACCGTGGTTAACCCCATATTTCAAAACATTGCACGGAGGATAAGAATGACATGAGAAGAAAAAAAACCCGCTCTTGAAGTTGGGAAATTAAAGATGAAAAGCCCGTGAATCACCCAGCGTAAGTCAACGATACTCCATAACGGCCATTAGACGTCCAACCACAATAAATAAACAGTGGAATCGGCGGCAAACGACAGAGGAAATTCTAGTAGCTGGGCGAGGGGTTTGTTTGAGAGGGAAGAAGAAAAAAGGTTGGGTGGTGAAATGGTGCGTTTTGGTTTCGGGTTGACGAGTTGCCATAGTAACATGAAACTGATAATGAGTATTTAATATTACGGACTGTGACGTACAACGGCGGGAAGCGAACTGAATCACATAAATGCCTTACTTTTATGGTCATATTTGAGATGTTTATACGACTAAACGCTCCAGCATTTATGACTTTATGTTTTGTGAACTTAAGTTCTGGAAGGGAAGTGGGTTGCTTTGTCCGGGGTTTTATTTCGTTTGGGACATTTTTATTGCTAGCTTTGTTTGATGATGGGCAATGCGACATACCTTCTGAATGTGAACAGTATTGCTGGCAAGGCAACCATCAGGAAACATCATATCAACCTGTTCGGTTATAGTTTAGAGCGTGCTGGGCATATTTTCTAAACAATTTGAATTTTTGAAAAGTTCACCTGTAACCTGAGCGTGATTATTTTCCCAGTTTCAGTGAGACTAGGTGGGAGACTGTTCCAATCCTTGATTGTCCTCATTGGACTAGTCTGCGGAGCAGATGGTGAAGTCCTACATTTCATGCCAGAAAAATTCTTATCATACTCAAGCTATTAAAATGTTGGGAAGGAAATAAAAAGAATATTGCATGAAACTTTTGTATCGATACACTTATCATATTCATAACTTTATTTCAAACGCTCGAAAATTTGAGCAACGTCGACAAAAGTAAAAAGTATAATGTGCGGTCGCTTTATAGTGCGCCCTCAAGAGACCATTTTTAGTTAGTATTTGTGCAAGCGCTAAAATCGGTTGTGTCAAAAAGAAGTTAGGCCTAACTCTTTATGTTTTTATCCCAGATTGAACTGCATTCTGCGGATCATGGCAGCTTCATCTGATGCTGATATTTTTGAGGTGGTTAATCAAGCTCTGCAGGGGTGAGTGATGCAATACCCAGAAAATGGATGAAATACTTTCTTAATTTTTTCACGAAATAAGTGCAACATGCCACACATTAATTCGTGGGAAGATTTTACTTCCTCCGTGGGGGGAAAATTCGGCCAACCGATCGCCACTTACCTGCCGCCAAACATCCAAATTTTCACCTCACCTTGTGATTTCAACCAAGAGGAATCCAGGAAAGAGTGGACATGCGAAAAAAAATTGGTAAAAATGTGTTTTTGGAGCACATTTTGCATGCACATGTAGTGCAGATCTGAGTTGAAGCAGCCGGTCAAAACTGATTGAAGTGTCTGGAACAGCGGTACGTTATACGCATGACATCGATAACCATGACGTCGCATGAGATGTCGCATGAGCCGGCCAATGATAGTGCAATACGTCATTATGAATATTTATTTTCTCATGAATATTTAGTTTATTTCAATGGATACTTCAAATACGTCCAAAGATTGATCATTGCAACAGCGATCGTGCGCGGCCTAGCGATTAAGAGACTCATGTATCAAGCAAGCGTCCGAGGTTCGAATCTCGATGAAGTGAGTGACTGATTGATAAATAGAAATTAAGGAAAGGAGGGGGTGAGAGTAGAGGAGGGAAAGTGGAGGGAATAACCATAAAAGAGGTAACTTTTGGCGCTAGAAAATTAATTGAAAAAAGTGGTGACCGGATAGCCGAATTTTTCCAAAGTGGGTATGCCCTCACATATATGGTCAAAAATGGAAAAATTCTTTAATCTCAGTCCATGGCACAACCTCCTACTTTAGCCCCCTGCTCTTTTGCCCTATTCTAATCATGGCCTCGCACTAGCTCTACTGAGTGGAGCGTTGAATTACGGGTACCCCTCCATATGGAGAGGTACCCGTAATTCAACGCTCCACTCAGTAGAGCTAGCCTCGCACTAGCTTGAGTAACTCCAGCTTAATAACAAGCTCAAATTCCTGATGAGCTTGTTAGCTGGAGTTACTCAAGCTAGCCTCGCACTAGCCCCATGTGGCCAATTATTCGTGAAATTTCCAGATTCATTTGCACACATTTACATAAAAAAATTTCAACATGAAATTTCACGAAAATTTAGACATCTGAAAAAGGTAGCACTTTCTGATTAGCCTATAATTATACCCTATAAAGAGGTAGACCTGTGAACGTGGCATTGTATACAATGCCACGCGCTTCCCTCGCATAAATACAAGCGAAATCGTTATGTCTTTTGATCCGCTACATATAACCACGTATAATTTTGCCCATACTAGGTAAATCACTTACTTGTTAGGCTTCCTGTGAATTTACGCGAGTGTAATACCATGTAAAATTCTGCTCAATCCACTTCGAAAGTTGGCCAATCACCCAGTATATATTGCTGTTCCATTGTGTAAGGGTTTGTTTCAGGGATCTTTCATTAGTTTCAAAAAACGAAAGTTTTTCAAACCAAATGTGCCCATATTTCTCTAACCTTCCCCCAGATTCAACAATGATGAGAATGACGTGGACCACGGCGATCAACTGGACGACTGCCTGGCCACCATGACCATGGTCAAAGACACCAAGGAGAGATACACTGCACAGATAGAACGCCTGAGGGAGGAGGTGGCATCATTGGAAGAGCAGGTGGAAGCAGACGAGCAGAAACTGCTGCAGATCAAGATGAAGTCCTTGGATAGGATACAGTAAGAGTTCCGATTCTACCTAGTTTTGATTTTTTGAGATGTGTAATTGAATGTTTAGATAAACTGTTTTAGGTGTTTGCAAATAGTTGCTACAATGCGAGTTTTCAAGCTGATTTTCAAAGTGACAGGCTGTACCACCCATCAGAATGATTAATGTGAATACTAAACTCTGTATTCAATTTGGGTTTTGCCCTTTACCGACGTACTTTATAAACACTGTATACAAAATCACTCAGGTGGGACTCGAACCCACAACCCATGCAAGCTCAGTGGTCGAGTGGTAAGACGTCTGCGCTAGTAACAGGCCTGGATTAGGTGTTTCGTAGGCCCTAGGCACAGTGCCAACTGTGCCTATTGGATAATCCGGGCCTGGCTAGTAAGCAGGAGGTTATGGGTCGAGTCCCACCCAGGTGATTATTTTCTCACAATCACTCGGGCAAAACCCAATATTGAATTAACATCACCCAGATGTAAGTTCCATCTTATAAATAGTTTCATTGCGGTACCCGCTGCTATATCAGATTCGAACCAGCCAACCGACCCCGGCAAGCTCAGTGGTTGAGTGGTAACTGGTAAGACGTCTGCGCTAGAAAGCAGGAGTCGTGGGCTCGAGTCCAGCCATAGTGATTTTTTCTCACAATCACTCAGGGGCAACACTGAGTATACAGTGTTTATAAAATATATTGAATTCACAACATCCCGACGCAAATTCCATCTTATGACTAAATTCTGTATTAAAAGTTTCTCCTTTTTCATCCATCTCTTTATTTCCTTTAGGTCATCACTTCAACTTGGCAAGAATTCTTCAAGCATTGGTACCGATCAGGCTACACAAGATCATGTAAGTTTCTTTAATGAAAGGATAAGACGAAAGGATACCACAAAAAGATAAGAAAAACTCTTCAATCTTCTTTGTGCTCTCTATTTACAAATTCACTGCGTATTGAGGTAAACAGACAGCATTTTCAACAGCTGGAATTAGATCAAGAATGTTAAGAGAAAAAAAAAATTCCTTTTCGTCTGTATTTCCTTTCCTGTTTGTTCAGTTGAAACTCCAAGCTACCTTCACCGGTATCCAGTACACGGACGCCACAGTGAGGATTGTCAAGCAGGAAGCAGGGCGGACTACCAGGCAACACTGTCTGCAGGGCCAGTGCTCTGGGCTGAGCTTCCAGGTTGAGTTTGGAGTGCAGGAACGAGCGGTGGGTACCAGTGGTGTAGTTGAGCCCGTCACAGGTCTATCTCTAGTCCATCAAAAAAGTCCATCACAAATCCATAACAAGTCCATCTCAAGTCCATAACAAGTCCATCTCTAGTCTATCCCTAGTCCATCAAAAGTCCATCACAAATCAAACAAGTCCATCTCAAGTCCATCTTAAGTCCATCACAAGTCCGTCAAAACTTCATCACAAGTCCATCACAAGCCCATCACAATTCTGTCATAAGTCCAGGACAAGTCTATCTCAAGTCCATCACAAGTCAGTCAAAAGTGCATCACAAGTCCATCACAAGTCCGTCAAAAGTCCATCACAAGTCCATCACAAGTCCGTCAAAAGTCCATCACAAATCCTTCACAAATCCATCAGAAGTCTATCTCAAATCCATCACATGTCCATCAAATGTCCGTCAAAAGTCCATCACAAGCTCATCACAACTCCATCACAAGTCCATCTCGAGTCTGTCAAAGTCCATCACAAGTCCATCACATGTCCATCACAAGTCCATCACATGTCCATCACATGTCCATCACGTGCCCGTCACAAGTCCATCACAAGTCCATCACAAGTCTGTCATGTCTGACGCAAGTCCACGCAAGTCCATTGCAAGTCCGTTGCAAGTCATTCAATCTCGAGTCAAGTCACAAATGAACTGTGATAAAAAGCGTTCCGTTGTTTGTCATCTGTTACTTGTGACTGGACATATAGAACTGGTGATTTCACTTGTGTAAACCAAGCACACTTTATGCTCACAAAGTTGTGGTTGTAAATCAGTCGCATCAATGTGTACCATTTGATTGCAAGGCTTGGCTACAGTGAAAGTGCCATTAGTGCGCATTAAGTTTTCTGCAGAGTAACGCTCTGTACTAGTGTAGAGGTTTCCTGCACTTGCGCAAATTACTTTTCTTACTACTTTTCTCCAGTTAACCGTGCTCTTTAGAAAGACAAGACCCTACACACCTACTCCAACTCAATACACCATCCCTGACATTTTCTCGTTCCATAATCAGGCTTGTACGTACTTTGAGCAAAAGCCTATATTTGAATTGTCACAGCAAGTATTCACGCTCTGAACCTGCAAAATGTTTGACACATTTCAACATCGTCAAATTTCTTTGCATTTAAATAAAGAATTAACCAACCTTTCATTTTTATATTTTTGTATCGGCAGCTTAAAGACTCAGAGAAAAAGCATTTTCCTTCTGGCAGCAACCAGGACACCAGGTCCCGGGTGACAACGCTAGCGATCCAGATTGACGACAGAGCATCGTGGGAACTGAAAGGGTTCGTCCGAGATGCTGAGCGGGATCGCGCCCTGCAGCCATTCCTGAGGGGGTACGGCCAGTACGCACAACGGTTCGTCGGTCGACAAAAGGCCTTTGAGCATTTCAAGGTAAACGGCTGTAACATAAACTCGTCTCAAGACTAGATTTGGATTATGTTATCGAATTGTGTAAATGAAGCTGGTGTCTGACTAGCCTTGGTCAAGGCGTTCGACGATAGAGTCCGACAAAACAGTAGCCGCACGCTATACAGTCACACGTACTGTACGAAGCGCAAACAGCAACCTCATGCGGCTAGGATATAATATGCAAATCAGGTGGTGCTGAACAAATGTCTTGGATCAGGTGGTGCTGAAGGATCTTTTCCTTGGCAATTTTCGTTATTTTGTCCCTGGGTTTATATCAAGATATATTTGGTCTGTGGACTCCCAACTTTTTGGAGAATGTAGCCACACTATCCAGCTCTCTGTCCATGTAAAATATGAGTATCCACGACCAAGTACTGAATAATAATCTCATCTTTATTCACATACGGGGTCGTCGCTGTATAAGTCAAGGCTTACGGATGTTCAAAGGCGTTCGTTCAGCACCAGCTGATTTGCTTTGTAGCCTAGCTGCGTAAGGTCGCTGTTAGCACTTCGTGCAGTATGTGTGAGTGCATAGCATACGGCTACTGTTGTTCATGGCCACCTGTCGATCGTCGAATGCCTTGACTAAGACTAGTGTCTGACAAGCTCGGTGAAGCCACCTTGATGGTAGAGGGCACTATCAGCAAGATGTATCAAATCAAGCCTTGGGAACATTGGAACATGGGAACATTGGCACTCAGACCAGAGAAACTCCAGCATACCTCACCTCTCATAGTAGTTTGGTAGTGCTTGCCATGGATTGGGATGCTCCTTAAAAGAAATTTGCTGTAGTTTTTTGTTACAAAAGCACACACCCCCCTCCCCTCCCCCTTGCGACGCCCATGCTTTGGCTATCAATTTTGATGCTAGTTTGAAATTCATCTATGTCATTATTTGTTCACACATCCATATTTTTGTCTCCCATTCACAGACGCAGTACCCAGAGGTTGTGACGTTACCGCAAGGTTCCTTTGGTCCTATCATGAAGTTTGGCAGACCATCTCAGGGCAGGTAGGTCACACAAGGCTTTTCTAAAATTAGTTGCAAAAATTGAAGAAAACAAATTTTATTTGAGCCTGAGACTTGCATTTTGGCACTAACAAAAAAAGTTGCTCTTTCAAAAATTATATCTAAAAAGTATGTCTGAAAATTTATATCGCATTTATGCATTTTTTAATGACCTGATCCACAGGTTTGTTATTAAGCAATCATAAAACAATGAGTGCACAGCCCTGTATTGCCAAAAAGTATGGAAACTATATTTCGTCAGGGGCTTGGAAGAATGTTGTGAGGGCAAAAAATGGGTCAAAAGGTCAAATTTTGGGTAATCAATAAAGCATTGCAACATCTTTCATTTTGGTATACATTTTGCCTCATGGGACTAAGTCATTCTGATGAAATTAACTGAAAGATGGAAGAGGTTTTCATTATTTTTCCCTGGAATAAGGATGATACAAAACATGTTCCCAGTGCACTAACGTCCCACTGAAGTGGGTAGGTAAAGCAAAGTTTATTCCCGGCAGAGGGTCGTTGCAATTTGACAAGCCGCTTAGGCGCACATTTAAGGCTGGAGGAGTTCCATACAAAAGGTTGTTACCATACAAATGCAAATAACTTTAAAATTTAGTAATATTTTGAAATAAAAGTGCACAAGTATTATTCGAATTATTAACAAATTTCATTTGTTCAAATTTCAGCCTTGTGTGATTTTGAATTTAAAAAAGGGAGCACGAAAACCTATAAACTTGATTATCTCAAAAAGTGATTTTTGCGTGCCTGGGCTACTAACATACTTTACCTTGGCACACAACGATTTGGCTCAATCACTCATTCCATGTGGTTTTTTTTATCACTGAGTGGTTTAAAAATAAAATGTAGACACTTTTGCACACCAAAGTAGACTTGCAGAAACTGTTCTTGCCTCAATTTCCCAACTTGTTTGCTGTCGTCTTGTTTTCCGTCAGTGTTCAGTACATCGTTACGTGGAACATCAGTTTGTCTTCTACTGGGAGAGCAGATCAAGAGATATCACTCCAAGTCTCGTCCTCCAAGCAAAGTAAGCACAAGCTCAGAGTGGGTTCTTGGATTGGTCCTGGTGTGCCAGAGAAGCCTATAAAATATCCCTGCACCTGATTTTCAGTGCACCTGATTTGTTCAAGTTGTTAATGAACGCCCTAAGGATTCCTCAGGACTACCCTGATAAATCCAACACGGTCCAACGGTTACTTCCTGCTCAATCCAACAGAATCCAACTGTGCCTAGTTTTCAGTTGTCTGCTAGATCCAACAGAGTCCAACTTGGCATTATTTATCAGTACCCAATAGAGTCTGACTCTGAATATGTACATTTGTACAAGGGGTTTACTGCTCAACCCAACAGGCTCCAACGGGTATAGGATATAGTTGGATCCTGTTAGATTCAGCAGGGTTAGAGTTAAAATGATGAGTTTCCAGTACTTATTTTCAGAACCTTACAAACTCACAGCAGAAATTTCATGTCACATGGTGCAACTGCAAACTTACTCTTACCTTAAAATGTTTTCAAAAATTATTTGCTTTTTTTAACCCTTCTACTGTTTGAACAGTCACAGACAGTCTAAAAGTCCATCCATTTCCCCTGCCATGCCTTTTATACAGGCTAGTCACCACTAGTGAGATCACATTTCAATTCAGCACTCTGGCTAGTCAAAATCAGTCAACAGACAAAAGCAGGAAACTGGTGGACACAGCTGTCTTATCAATCACCTACAGTCAAAGCATAGCTGTGTCAAGTTAAATAAACAGTCACAGCCAGTCAATCCTGCTTTATGTAGGCTGGGAGCTCTTAAAATGTTAAAAACAGTCACTTGACTGATTTTGACTGAAAGGACAACTTGGCACAGGACGCATGTTCGCATAGGAAGGTTAATAGTATTCAACAAATTTGCACAAAGCTGTTGTTTAATGGTTGCATTTTTCAACAAACAATTGATATTCGAGCATGAAAGTTCGTTTCCAGTCCCATTATTATGTCAAGTAAATAGAAGACACCTTTTTGGGACTTGAGTTACAGAGCTCGTATCAGGAGCTAGTGACACCATCACGGTGTCTTTATCAACTGGTGGTGTTGAGGCCCTCATGTGAATTTGATACTCAAATTTTTTTATCATAGCAAAGAAATCAATACTAAAATGCTAGCTTCCCCCCCCCCCTTTTTTTCTGTAGTTCGGCAGTTAGATGAGCAGAAAGTCCTGAGTTCGGCACCAGAGAAGTTCCAGCAAATGCTAGAAAGACTTGGCATCGAGAGGACCATAGACAGTTTCATCCAGGCAGTGACAACGTAACGAGGCCTCCACACTCTGTGTCTACAGACAGCAGTGACAACGTAGCGAGGCATACACACTCTGTGTCTACAGACAGCAGCGATAAAATGCTTCAGAGACCTTGCCAGAACGATAGACTGCTACATCTTGGTAATAACACAAGTTCCAGGTCGACCTGTTCTTGTGTGTTTGGAGACATGGACAAACATCGACAGAAGTACGCAGAAGTGCCTACCTTCCCACTCAGGGTGCGGCAGCGGATTTCACAAAACTTAACGCACGGTGGAAAACTTCGCTTACGTCACATTTTATAGCTTAAGATTCTTTTCACAGTTGCCATGCGATTTTGGACAAAAAGTTGGACAAGTGTATTTTCAAAACTGCAGGCGTACCCAAACAGCCGTTTCAAAAGCTGTTACAATCCTTGTCCAATTGTTGCGCAGCTGCGCCAAGTTTTGTTTTAAAAAAAAATAGAAGTTTATTGTGCAGCTGCCCAACATATTTGTTCCACAAGAGTGGCAGATCTAGAGGGTGGGTTAAGGGGATTGCAGCCCCCTCGTTCAGCCGCTAATGTCATGATACAGTGGAACGCCGCTATAACGAACATTGCAGGACCCACCGAAAATGTCGTAATAGTGATCGTTCGGTATAGCGATTTTAAGCTGTTGATGCTCCGGTACTCAATAAATGGCGCCCTTCATAACTTCACCCTGCACGCCCCGGTAGTTACTGAAAGACGACTTCGAACATGTGCTGACTATTGAATGATGTAATTACAGAGTTTTTGAGCTTACTACCTACATCGATGGGTGGCTTTCCCCTTCTATGCTGTGGGGAAATAATAGCCACTTGTCGCTCATCTGTGGACAGTTTTCGACAACAATGTTCGGTTTGTTTTGTACACAAAAATCGGGAGCCAAGGACGATGTTCGGTATAGCCGAATCTTCGGTATAGCGGTGTTCTGTATAGCGACGTTCCACTGTAGTAAAATGGGGCCAATTAATGGAATGCTAAAGTTCCTAAATCTATTCTGAAATTGCCTTAGAATGCAAGGAGAAAGCACCGTAGATTCAGAAATGTTCAGGGGGATACCCCCGGACCCTTCACTCAACTCCACCCCCCCCCCTTCATATAAACTCCCTGTCATATCAATTAGGCCATCAGCCTGGGGGTTTGGTCGGTATCAATAAGGGGAATAATGCTCATTGTGATTTTTAAGCAAGGTATGCACCCCTGTAGTTGGAAAATATGTGATAGCATTGCAGCGGTGGCAGCTTTTTTGGGTGCTATCACTTTATAAACAAAAATGGTGGCAAAAAAAACATGCTTGTTACCACATATAATTAATCCGGTAACAAAATTTTTTTTTTTAAATGTAAAAGTGATGACACCCAAAAAACTGCCACCGCTCACACTGCAAAGCTATCACACATTTTCCATCTCTAGATGGGCATACCTTGCCGAAATCGCTTTGAGCATTGCTCCTTTCGATCATTTGATACCGGTGGCCCAATTTTTTGACTGAAGCCGATAGCCTAAATGTCTAAGATTATGACTTCATTTTGGTAGTTTTGTCTGTTACAAACAATTGTATTGACGCCGATAATGTGTTGTCCACATTCTGGTCTAGGTAATTCTTGGTGTTTTTTTCTAATTTGCAGTGCCTTAAAGGTATATTTGCTTCTGCTGTAATTTTCAGAAGTGGGTGGGTTTGGGGTTTGGTATTGTATAGCAGATATTGTCACACTGGCCTGTTTAAATTTTTGTGTTAAAAGGTTTTTCAGGTTAGGGTACCAGACTTTCTGGCTTGCACTCATTCATGTATGTGTAATCAATTGCAAACAAAATGTGGAATAACCATAGAGCTATATTAAATTACTAGAACGCTAACTCGATGTACAAAGTAATGCCTGATGGGCGCATCCATGTTTGTGCACAAACCTATGGACTACTGGAAATTTTGTACGGCTTTTGTACGTCTATTTGCATATCTGCGTTTGTATTCCATGTCGGTGCGTTATCAAAGCCGATACGCCCAAAACCGAAACGCTCGATCAGCAAATGAGCGTGTCATTTTGCCCTACGCAAACAGCGCAACACTCGTGCGTATTCACTGCAGATGCTTTTTGCCGTGACGTTTTTTTGAACTGTCTTGGAGCGCTTAAGTTGTTTACGCATGTTCTACTTATTGCGCGTTGCATGTAGAGTACACTTTCAAAATTCAATCCATCTAATTTCATTATGTTCTACAAACACGCACATGAATTCAAAATGTCTGCACCCAGGACGGCTTCAAAGTGTCTCTGCGCGCAAGAATGAGGAGTTAGCGCTGTAGTAATTTAATATAGCTCTATGGGAATAACTAAATTTGGTAAATTGGAGGCAGAATTTGAAGAAAAAAAAATGTTTATTTCAAACAATGGTCGACTGACCATCGATGGAAATTGATACAAAATGTCCACTTTTCTTGAAAATGACAGCACACCAGGTGCCATGATTTCACAGGATGATTGAGACTATTATTCTCTTACAGTCAAATAAGGTATTTCATAATAATTTGATAGTTACAATTTGTTGTAAATTACCTTTAAAGTTTTATGTAAATAAAATGAACATCAAATGCTTGAAAATACTGTACATAATGTAAATTAGCTGCTACCCTGGCCGATGTGTCATCCAAATCCCCTGTAAAGTGTCCCTTTTCATCTAAGAAGTTTAATTAAATTTCCTGAATGAAATGTTCACATACTCTACTCTATTGTCAGCTTTTACAATAAAATATAACACAATCTGTCATAATTAATTTGCTAAGGACAAAAAAGAGTTAGAGAGGGTTCAGTTTTGAAGTTAAACGGCACCATTTTGTTAACATCGAAAGGTGACATCAACTTTCTGTTCTTCATTATCTACTTTAAAACAATGGACCTTTATGTATACAATTTTTGTTAAGTTCCCGAAACCAAGCTCTCCATTGTACTTGGCAGGATTTTAAAAAAAAATGTTATCAAGGTATCATTGTGGTGAATTATGTCTGTACATACAGGATATCTGGTAATTATAATGGTAGTAACTTTTGATAGATCTTTGCAATATAATAATAAACAAAATAGTCGAAAGGGAAGTTTATTCCAAAGTTTGAAAGTTTTCATTTGTGTGTGTGTGTTGGTTTTAAATAAACTAATGTGTCATATATTTTACAGGGGATTAAGTTGGGATGGGTCAATAGGATCAAGGTAAAACAAATCAAATAGAATGTTGGTAGTGTGAGAAATACTTATTGCAATTCTGTATTGATGTCCGAGATCTTCAACTGAACAACAACAAAAACAACAAATTGTTAGCATGATTAAGAACATCTATTGATATGGCTTAATAACCATAAACAAGCATGTTTAATTTGGCATAATTTATGGCTTGAATGTTTCGGACGCCGTTTTATGTCTAAATCAACTGAAAATACTCTAAATTCATCTTATTTAATTGTCCTGTTTGATTTGTCTATACCTTCCTCCATGATATGGTTGAATGTTTAAAAAGCATTTAAAGATTATTTTTGGGAAGGCAAAAAATACAAACCCCTAAAAGTAACGAGGGGGGACTCGAACCTGGGTCGCCTGGTTGGGAGTGCTGCGCCGATCCACAACGGCACCAACGCGTTCAAATGTTTACTAGGTTCTGCTTAATTATAACTGGGAGATAGACTTATCGTGGCTTTTTACGTTGGCGCCCATGCACGCTTAGACGTAACACACAGTCTGATGATGCAAATCACTCGTTTGATTTTGGGTTTAGCTGTTTGGGTGATCGACATTTGATTTGGAAAAGGGTGAAGGGTGTAAATTGAATTAAAATCATGAAATTCTACACACTCAAAACAGATTCAATAAGTGTTTTCGACACGAAACACACGTGTTCAACGGATGCAGGGAAGCCCATTTCTTTTGTTAATTTCCTTTGTTGAATCTTGCGTTAACAATAAAATGTTTCCATTGAGGCGAAAGGATTAAACGCCGCGATCTTTTTTCACGCTTGAGTGCCTCTGAATGGGGAATATTGAAGCGGAAAATCACGAAATACAGCGCTTAGACAGCGTTTTAGGCCACATAATGATACTTTTTGCATAGGAAATTGCATACTGAATACACCTATAGTTTTAAAATGCAAAAATTCGCCGTATTTAAAAAGTCGAGGTAACATTTTTGGAAAATTTTTGCAAAAACTTTCCTCTTTCCAACGTAGGTGGCGCTATATATATTTCATTCTCGCACGTGCCGTTGGTTAGCGCCGTGGCGCAATTTATAATTATTTTTCTCAGTGCACGCGCTAGCCGCCCGATCTATAGGCCTATCCGCGCATCACATTATTTTTGTAAAGAAATGTTAAGAATAAGTTGAATCGGTCTACAACTAAAACAATAGAGTGAGGTCGGCGACAAAAATGCAATCCGAATAAAAGTCAACTTTAGCAGAATAAAACAGGCGTGTATTCCTTCCCCATGTGTAAGGCCAAAAAAATAAAGTCTCCGGTTTCTGGTATGGAGGTTGCCCACAAAGTGGTGCGGCGACGCGGCTTTTATTTTTTTTTTGTATACCGCAAGGGGCGATGAATAGCAGTCGCCCCTAAAGGAACTTCCGCTAGGGGCGACGGTTATTTATCGCCCGTAGCGGTATATATTAACGCGCGTACCGCTTGGGGCGACCATTATTGTCGCCCCTAGCGGTATATACTACGCGCGAACCGCTGGGGGCGACCATTATTGTCGCCCCTAGCGGTATAACGCTTGTACCGCTTGGGGCGCCCTTTGTCGCCCCTAGCGGTATACCGCTGGGGGCGACCGATATTGATCGCCCCTAGCGGTATATATTAACGCTTGTACAGCTGCGGGCGACCGATATTGTCGCCCCTAGCGGTATACCGCTGGGGGTGACAGATATTGATCGCCCCTAGCGGTATATATTAACGCGCGTACCGCTGTGGGCGACCATTATTGTCGCCCCCAGCGGTATATATTAACGCGAGTACCGCTGGGGGCGACCATTATTGTCGCCCCTAGCGGTATATATTAACGCGAGTACCGCTGGGGGCGACCGTTATTTCCGCTCCTAGCGGTATATATTAACGCTTGTACGGCTGCGGGCGACCGATATTGTCGCCCCTAGCGGTATACCGCTGGGGGCGACAGATATTGATCGCCCTTAGCGGTATATATTAACGCTTGTACGGCTGCGGGCGACCGTTGTTGTCGCCCCTAGCGGTATATATTAACGCGCGTACCGCTGGGGGCGACCATTATTGTCGCCCCTAGCGGTATATATTAACGCGAGTACCGCTGGGGGCGACCGTTATTGTCGCCCCTAGCGGTATAACGCTTGTACCGCTGGAGTCGACCAATATTGATTGCCCACAGAGGAACTTGTGCTAGAGGCGACCAATAATTGTCGCCCCTAGCGGTATACTG